GCGGGGGGGTCCAGTGACTTAGCCATTATGCTAACTGCTGGTCCCAAAGTTCCTTTTTTTAAAAATCTTCTTTCTCAGAAATTCATTTCAATTTTTCCCCTCTCATGAAATGTCTTCAACATGTTTATAATTTTCTGTATCAGAGGAGCTATTTCTTCCTTTTTGAAATTGCTTAACCTTCCTGTATTATTTTAAAAGACTGTAAGATAATTATATTTCAGTAACATTTATGGAAGACTTACTACTTATCAAGTATAATGCTAATTTGTTTAATGAATTTTATCCTCCCAACAGATTCTTCTTTTTTTAGAGATTCTTGCCTTAAGGGTACATGCACTCATGGAGAGAGAGAGACAGACACGGAGACAGTGGGAGACAGTGAGAGGAAAAGTGAGAAATCAACCCCCCCTCCCCCATGGGATGGCCACGCCACCATCCCTTCTCCTCCATTCTCCTCCTGGGATCTTGAGCATGCACGCACATGTGCCTGGTGTGTTTTAAGTCACCAGTCCAAGGCTGTGGTCAGCCATGTAGGAGTCCAGCGGCATAACCACTACACCATCTGCTGGCTCTGATCTCAACAGATTCTTAAGGGGCAGGGGAGCTATCTGTATTTTACAGATGAGGAAACAGAGGCCAGGCAGTATGTGCCAGAGCTGACTCAGTCATATACTGCCTACTAGTGGTAGAATGGCAGTACTACATGGCAGTAAAATGTTTTTTATACAAGTTTTCTTAAAATACTTACGTATGAAAGTTGACTTTTGCAATAGGAAGTCATTGTTTTGGAGAAAAATATCTTGACACTTAAAAAGTACCATTCAATCTTTTGTGTTTTTTTTTTCTTTTTGTTTTTGTTTTTCTTTCTCTCTAATGCTCACTGTCTCTTTTCCTCACCCTTGGGTCTTTGAGAGATCCATTTGCCAAAGCAATTTCCATCCAAAGTTACTGTATCTGAAACCTAGATGGAGGCCAGCAGTCAGCATGGTAGCTAAAGAGCTGGATAGCCCACATGGCTGACCGCAGTTCAAGCCCTTGACCCTGTGACTTGAAAACCATGCCTGGCATGTGTGCATGTGTCCCTAATGTTCAAGAGGAGAATGGAGGATAAGGGATTGCAGTATGTCCATCCCCACCTGGAGTGATTCCTCACTTTCCCCTCTAGCTCTCTCTCTGGCAAGCATGCACATCATATGGCAAAAACCTTAAAAAAAAAAAAAAAAGAAAGGAATAAAAGAAAAAAGAGAGAAAAGAAGCATCGATGTATTGAGAAATAGCTCCTGCAGACAGTTTCTGTTTAAAACTGTAAACAAGCTGTTAAATGCATTTTCTCAGGATTTTCTGACCCAAAAGTTGATTAATCACTAGTAGTATAACTAATTCTGAATTATCTAAAGCCCTTTAAGTCATTCTTGACATATAATATGTAATATCTTAGTTGTATTTGAAATTTAATACCCAGGATATTGGGTATATCTGTGTGTGTGGTTTTTTGTTGTTGTTGTTTGTTTTTTTGTTTGTTTTGTTTTTATTGCTAGGCTGTAACCAGAGTGCTTTTGTTTCACTAGTTTGGATTAATCCTTCTTTTACTGTACTTTTGGTTGGTTTGGTTGAATGAAATATAACTCTAGAATAAATTACTACTACCATATGTACCAATCTTGGGAAGGCTCTTCATTTAAATCAATTAAAACATGTTTTGTGTAGGATCATAGCTTTTTCTATTATTAGAAAATTTGGATCTTTTTGAGTAAAACTATTTCTCCTCATGTCAGGTAACATTCCTCCAGAGAGTACACTGATATTCAACATTGATCTTCTGGAGATTCGAAATGGACCAAGGTCGCATGAATCATTCCAAGAAATGGATCTTAATGATGACTGGAAACTCTCTAAAGTTGAGGTATCTTAAAGTAAATATATTTTGAGCCCAGCCCATAGCCTAGTGGTGAAGGGAGCCAGATCCTACATGGCCAACTACCGTTAGGTTTGAATCTTGGCCCAGTGGCTTAGAAAACACACTGAATGTGAGGATATGCTCTGGCAATTTCACATTTTAAAAAAAAATTGTTTTTATTTAAGTAAAATGCTATTTATTTATACATTTTTTAAAAATATTTATGCTTTGAAAATTGACTTTTTCATAGGAAATTTTTGCTTTGGAGAAAAATATATGGAGGCTTAAGCAC